TAAAGCCCATCCTTCCAATTCTATGTGTGGCTAAATAATGTCCATAGCTAGTAATTATGTGGTTTGTCCTCCTTAAATTTCCCCTCTTTCTTTCAATTCAAGCTGGTTCTTAGGGTATATGGCAAGAGAGAAAGGAGATGTGTATTAGTCCATTTGCATTGCTATAAAGGTATACGTGACACTGGATAATTTATAAAGAAAAGAGGTTTATTTTGACTCACAGTTCTGCAAGCTGTACAGAAAGTGTAGTGCAGGCATCTGCTTCTGGTGAGGCCTCAGGAAGATTACAATAATGACAGAAGGCAAGGGGAACCAGCGTGGTGAGAGAGCGAGCGAGAAGAAAAAAACAAAAGAAATAAGAGAGGGAGGCAGTGGATTCTTTTCAGCAACCAAATCTTACATGAACTCATTACCAAGTGGAGAACACCAAGCCATTCCTGAGGGATCCACCCCATTACCCAACACCTCCCATCAGGCCCCACCTCCAACATTGTTAATCACATTTCAACATGAGATTTGGAGGGGACAAACATCCAAACTATATCAAGAAGTAAGCCATAGGATCTACCATGTTGATTCCCAAAATCCACAACCAGAATTAGGATGAGATGAGTGAGGCACTATCCTCAATTGCACATTTGTTTTTCAGACTGGGTCAGGCTCTGGTGCCCAGGCTGGAGTACAGTGGCACCATCTTGGCTTGCTGCAACCTCTGTCTACCAGGCTCAAGCCATCCTCCTACCGCAGCCTCTCAAGTAGCTGGGACTACAGGCACATGCCACTATGCCTGGCTAAAAAAATAAAAATTATAATTATTTTTTTTTTAGAGATGAGGTCTCACTATGTTTCCCAGGCTGGTCCCAAACTCCTGAGCTCAAGCAATCCTCCTTCCTGCCTTGGCTTCCCAAAGTGCTAGGATTGCAGATGTGAGCCATTGCACCCAGACTCGTTGGTTGCAAAATTTAAGGAGCTACCAAAACCTCAGTAATCAAGATAAATAATATTTTTATGAAATAGTTTAGAAAAGCAAAACAAATACCAAAAGAAATTTATTATTTTTGAGGCATACCCTTAAATGTAGTGGGTGAGAAGGATCTCTGATTCACCTCACCCTGATCCTAGCCCTGCCCAGAGTAGATTTGGAGGTCTGCAGAGGATGTAGGAAGAGAGAAAGGAGTTTACAGAGAGAAAAGAAGGAAGAAAAGGTTCTCCCCGAAGCCATACAAAGAGAGCCTCCCTAGCTCAAGGATATTGAGAAAAAATATTCTATAGGCTCTGGAGCCCCAGGGATCCAAGTGGTGACACAGCAAGGGGTCAGGACCCCAAGAAGGAATCATCAGTGTGGTCATGGAAAGAGGACCAAGGGCAGTTGTACAAAGTATTCTTCAGCCCTAGAGTGACAAGGAACCACTGGGCAGATGAGTCAGTAGTAACCCCATGGGAACTAATGACTAAAGGATACACCCCATGACTTAGCACTTCACAAGATGCAGGGACTGCAGTCCAATGTGAAGTGACAGCTAAGATCACTGCTGGCCGGCCATCAGGATGGCGGTACCCAGTGAAAACATAATTAGACTTACAGAAAATAAAATTAGGCAATACTTTTTGCATATCTGTGGTTTCAAACAAATATTAACAGCTGCTATATCCAGATAGGGAAACCAAGGTCAATGGGTTAATTAAGCAGCTTGAATTAAGACTGGATGAATCCATATTTGCTGGAAAAACATATCAATTTAAACATGTCAATTTAAAATGACATCTGAGGTTTCAGAAGAATTCCTATTAAAGTCATACTTTCTGTTTCCAGAGTTACCTCCGTGATGCTCCTGCATAAATCTCTCACTGTCTAATGCCTGGGAGGCATGGTGATGACTGACAGGAAATGAGAGCAATCTGAGAGCCATCTGTCTTCCTCTAACCTCAGCTCCCACCAAAGTTCTTTCGGGAAGTTGGAGCTGAGAATGTACACAGCATGCTTCTCCTATCACATTGAGAGACAGCCCAAGATCTCTCAAGCAAAATTTACTTTCAGATCATGATGAAGTTGCTGGCTTTCTGTTGACATAAATTACACAGGTACCACAATAGAAGACACATCATTTTCTCTGTGCTGAATGGCTTTTATAATAGCAGCTGGATTTCTCAATGTAATTTTTCTTAAGGTCAAATTTTCCTCCCTGAGTACATTCAGAGATATGAAATTGTCAGAACAAATCTAGATATATCTTTATGTTCCTTTATTATTTGATTCCAAGATTCTATCAGGAAGATAGACAGGGAAAAAAACAATATACCATTAACAACAAAATAAATATCTGATGCTGCTCTGTACAGTACCTGTGTAAAACAGAAAGAATACAACCCAAGGGAGAGAGAAATTTCCACTATTTATCTCAACTACCATTGTTTTCTGGAAAACAACTGCAGGGTTTTCACTGCAATCTATTTCCAGATTCTAGGATGCCGTTACTGTAAGATACACCCTAGGTTTTATAAGTTCTTTCAAGGGGAAAAGGAAACCATATCAAGCATTCATCAACTGTAAAATGCACTCCAGTTGAAGAAATTCTAAAATGTGAAAAAATATCCGTTCAGTGAATGAAAAACAACAATGGAGCTTCCGTCTCATAGAAACTCAGCCATTCGTGCCTGCCATAGAGGAATGATCCTGGGGATTTTACACTGGGACTAAAGGCAGGATGCTAAAACTTGGAATCAAGATACAGGAAAGGGGAGAGGTGAGTTTTCCAGGTTTCCTAGGCATGTGGCATGGAGGGAAGATCCATTGTCTTTGATCATTATGAGTTCAGATCTCAGCTCTGCCATTTGTGACCTCTGTGGCTTGGAACCTCAGTTCCCTCACTGATACATTGGGAATTGCTTCATGCATACAAGAGATATTTATTGTGAGCCTACATTTTTCTAGGCATTGATAATACAAAAGGACCAAGACAGAGAAGGTTCCTTCCTGTCCTCCTGAAGCTTACATTCTGAAAGAGGGGGTGGCGGGGAGCAAACAGGTAGACAAACAAAATAAACGAGGTTATTTCAGAGGTTGGTGAGGAAAAAGGGTGGGACAGCATCTGAGGGATGCTCTCGGGGGGGGCAGGATTTGCTCTGAGACCTCAAAGACCTGGAGGAAAAACATTCTGGAGAAAGGAAATGATCAGTATAAAGGCCCCAAAAGGCGATGGCTGTGTTTGAGAAGCACAGCAGCATTTGTGTGACTGCAGCAGAGCTAGCATCTGGAGAGGGTGGAAATGGAATCGTTGAGATAGGGGGAGCCAGGCCACTTCTCTTCTCCAGGCCATGGTGAGGAGGTGGCCTAAGTTCTAAACTGCAATGGGAAGCATCTTAAGCTGAGGGCAGCATGATTAAATTTCTGTTTAAAATTCATTCTAATGATGGTCATTCATGCAAGAGAGGCTGGGGTGGGATAATAATGCCTATACAATGAGATTGTTTGAGGATTCACTGAGAAAATGTCAAGGACCTGCCATCTACTGGAAGCTTGCTTGGCTCAAAACAGGACAGAAGCGGCAGGCAGTTCACACACACACCCAAGAGGAATGCTCAAAGAATGAAGGACAGGAGTTGGTAGACACAACGCCAGCTCTCTTGCCCAGTCGTGGGACGGTTGAGGTGTGTTCTACACAGCGCTCCCAGTGGACGTGAGCTCCAGTCACCCACCGAGGCCCCCACACGGGAATGCACCCTTTCCCAGCTTTCCTGTCTTCCTGGACTCACTTCCCCATTCCCTCTCCACACTTCCTAGGTTTGACTCCCAAATAAACTATCACCTGTGTCCTTGTCTCAGGGTCTGCTTGGGAGAACACGGTGTCCTCAGATTTCTCCAGGTAGGCTCAGCTTCCTCCCACTCTGGCCAGCAGCATCCAGCACTGCCTGGGTGAGCTGCTCTCCACGTCTCAGCACAGCTATAGGGATGGACCCCAGTTACTCACACGCCAGTCTTGCTCACTGGAACTCTTCTAATCCCCCTTTTGAATAAAGAAAACCAGAATTATTTCTGCAAACCCTCTGAGTTTGCTGGTACCCTGGATTATATGGCTAAAAGCCATAAGCTTCGTCAAAGCCACCAGGGTGCACTCACTCAGAGAGCCCCAGACCCAGAGCCAATCTCTGCCCTGGTCCTCTGGGATCAGCCTCAGTCTAGGCAGCCAAGCATTAGGCAGATTCATTCCAGTCAAGAGGGGCTAGACAGTTCCCAATCTCAGTGGCCTCCTGCTCATTCTCACCGGATGTGAGAAAGTCACAGGCTGGTTTCCCCAGGAAGCAGACACTGAGAGAGAGGCCTGTGTGCAGGAAGTTTACTGGGGACTGTCCTGTGTCAACACCTGCTGGGCAAGAGGGTATGAATGACGAGGGACTGAGCAGAAGGAGCTAACTGTGGACTAGTTGAAACAAAGGCCACATATGATCCCCCATGGAGCTACAGGGTAGCCCTGTGGAGCTGTCCTGAGTTGAAGGATGGGGTCTGGACCTTTTTAATCCAGATTGACCAGTTATTGGATGTGAGCTTCCCCAGAGAAAGATATGACTGAGTGAGGAGACGCGATTCAGCCCGGGGCAGGACCAGGATAGTGGGTGCTTCAGGGATCAATAAGGCAATCAGTGCCCCCACATCAGTATCCTAAGTTTTCAGGGAGAGAAAGAATCAGAAACTCCCCTGCCACCTGCAGCAGGTAAGAAATACAAAGCAACTGCCTTATGATTGCCCAACTCAGGAGGAGCTGGAGCCAAGCCCTAGGGAAAGAACACAAGTCACTTGACAGTCACGCCTAAGGCTTCTTCACTGGAGGTGTCTCCCCTGGAAGAACCAGCCATGACTCCTAAGCCACCTCCACATCCACCCCCAACTCCCAACCAGTCTATAGGTGACTGAGTTGCATGCAGTGTCCCAGGGCCCACAGTACTGGCCACTGTTTTCAAACACAGCCTTTCAGGTCTCATGAAGTGGAATGACGGGCTGGAGTTAAAGGGGCCTCTAGTAAAAGTACCTCTGTCGCAGAAGGGAGTCTTCTTAGTATTGCTCATCCACAGGCATTTGGGATCTGGCCTTGCAGGACAGACGCAGAGCAAAGGCTGGGAACTGAAGGGATGGTGCCCCTCTGCACTGCGGTGCATATCTGGCAGCTGGCTTTTTTTGTAAACTAAGTGATGATTGGCAAGTCAGGCCATTTCTCTAAGCCTCAGTCTCCCCATCTGTAAAGTAGGGCTGAAAATCATACCCAGTGGTGGCATTGCTCTGGGTGGAAATGAGATACACACTGGAATTCAAATATTATCATCTGAGTAATTAAAAAGCAAAACCATGTGATAAACCATGAGAGAAGAGAGGAAGCTTTCATCACTCTTTATGGGAGGATAAATTCAAAATCAAGTTGGCAGTATCTGATCAAGTTGGAGATTTTCTAAGCAAAGAAACTCTCGTAAACATGCACAAGGAGTGCACGTAGGATGGATGGTAAATACAGCATGTTTGTAAGAATAAAGAATTAGTGAGAAACAGCCTAAATGTCCATCAGAAGAGAAACGAAGGAAGTTAAGTGGACAGAGCCAAGCAACACTGAGGAAGTAAATCAGCAGGGATGGACTGATTCGGGAGTCAGAGAGTCAGGTATCAAGGGTGACGTCTGTGTTCTGAACTTGCTGAACGCCACCATTCCCTGAGATGGGGAGAAATGGAGGAGGACCAGGTTTGGGGGTGATAATAGTGCATTCTGCCTTGGAGGAACTCCTGAGGCCTGTGTATGGATATGTCATGTAGGCAGTTGGAAAGATTGGCCTAGAACTAACAGAAGCCTTGGATGGAAATGTAACTGGAGGCAGGGAAGGAGAGGCTCGTCTGCAAATAGATAGTGAATGTGAATGAAGCTGCCAAGGGAAATAGAGTGAAAATAGGGTCTAGGACTGGTCTTTGAGGACCTGCAATTACATTTTTAACAACTTTATTGAGGTATAATTGACACACAATAAACTGCACATAACAAGTGTACAATTTGGTAAGTTTTGATATATATACCCCCACAACTCCACTGTAACATTCAAGAAAATGAACATGTCCATCATCCCCAAAGTTACCAAGCGTTCCCTTGCAATCCCTCTGTCCCTCCGCTCCCCACTTCCGTCTCCAGGAAGCCCCTGATCACTTTCTGTCCTTACTGATTCACTTGTATTTTCTGGAATAGTATGTAAGTGAAATAATCAAAATGTAGTCTTTTTCTTCTTCTTTCATTCTGCCCAATTATTTGGCAGTCCATCCATGTTGTTGTGTGTGAATAGTTCATCCCTTTTTTGTGGCTGTTATTCATTGTGTGGATATACAATCTGTTTGTCCTTGCACCAATTCATGCACAGTCAAGCTGTTTCCACTTTGGGGCTACTACAAATAAAGCACTTATAAATATTGCGAAGTCTTCATAGGACATACGCTTGAATTTCTCCCGGGTAAATATCTAGAAGTGGAATAGTTGGATCATATGGTAGGTACATGTTTCACTTTTAAAGGAACTACCAAACCATGCTCCAAAGGGGAAGTCCCATTTTATCCTCCCAGCAGAAACGCATGGGAGTTCAGTTGCTCGGCATCCTCGCTAGGAGCTAGTACGGTCGGTCTTTTCATTTTAGCCATTTCATTTTAGCTATTCTACTAAGTGTATAGTGATAGTTCATTGTGATTTTAATTTGCATTTCCCTAGCCACTAAGGATGGAACTACAATTTTTAGCATCTGGAAGAAAACTGAATGGATACAGGAGATCCAAAGATATAGGAGAAAAAAAAACAACAGAAAAATGTGACATCATGGTAGTCAACAGGAGACATTACTCAAAGACAGAATGGTCAGTAGGGTCAAATGATGCCAATTTGAGGATTGAAAATTATCTTTTGGATTTAGTGAAATGAAGGTTACTGGTGTCTTTATCAAAAGATGTTCGAGTAGCAACTGAATCCAGCTTCCAGCTTCTTTCCCATTTTCAGAATGAGTCCCATTATGCTGCCGCCTCTCCTCAGGGGTCTGAGTCCCAGCTCCGTAAGACCCCTCCTCCAAGCTTCTGAGATTAAAGCACTAGCTGGTACTTCTTTGACATGGTTTCAAGTTTCTAGGGGGTGTCAAGGGTTTGGTTTCCTGAGCGGCCAACTCTGAAATCCAGAGAAGCATGCAAAAGCCTTATTAGGGAGTAGTCTCAGAATCATCACCCCTGGAAGGCAAAGGAAAGCAGCAGGATTGGGCAAGGGAGAAGTTGGGCTTTGATGCAGTCTCAACCAAGAGTTCAGCCAACCCCCACGAGCAGGCCCATAGTTGGATGGCCCTTCAGTATTGTCCCTATTTGGGACAAAGAAGCTGAGCCTCCATACCCTACATGGACTAGTCATTTGATGTGGCTTGCTTCAGGAGGGAGCTGAAAGGCATATCTTCCAGTGGAGGGTAATTCTGTAGAGGGCTGAAAGCTGAGGGCCATCATCCAGCAGCACCCCAAACAGCTTATTCCCTTCACTCTTGGAGGACCTGAGTGGCACACTACAGTGTCCACTACAGAGGATTTCTCCTTCAATTTTTTTTTTTTTTTTTTGAGATGATGAGATGGAGTCTCATCTCACTCTGTCTTCAGGCTGGAGTGCAGTGGCATGATCTTGGCTGACTGCAACCTCTGCCTGACAGGTTCAGGTGATTCTCCTGCCTCAGTCTCCTGAGTAGCTGAGATTACAGGTACGCACCACCATGCCCAGCTAATTTTTTGTATTTTTGGTAGAGACAGGGTTTCATGTGTTAGCCAGGATGGTCTCAATCTCCTGACCTTGTGATCTGCCCACCTCAGCCTCCCAAAGTGCTGGGATTACAGGAATGAGCCACCACACCTGGCCTCTACTGCGCCTGGCCTCTCCTTCAATCTTTTAGGTTCTAATAACCCCAACCTCTTCCCTTGGTTCTCCACCTAAGAACGGGAGCCACTTCCTGCAGTTACTACCTCTAAATTATACCAGAGCCTCCTCTGTGCTTTTTCCATTTTCCAAAACCTGATTAAGCAATTCCTTATGCTGAGTTTCTCTAGTACTGTTCCTGTTTTCCTAGTTAAAACACCCCTTCACCTAGATGGCTCCAAAACTGTTAGGGAAGGTAGAAGTGAGAAACCCACACTCTTGACTGGATTTTGTGGCCTACTGACCAGGTCATGCATAATTAGGAAGGTCAATTTGGGAAGTATTAGGGTATGTTTTGCTGTCAACTCACACATACTCCCAGAGTCATCTGCAAAGACCAGTATTTCAGCACAGAAATCTGGAACGTGTCCTGGGTGTATGCCCTGCAGGTAGGAATGTGCGTGAACTCTGAGCTCCTTCGAGCCCCAGTGTAATCCGTTTACTGCATTTCTGACATATTAATGCACTAAATGGCTCCCTGGTGATCTGAAAACGTTAACACAGTCACAGCCTGAGTGCCTGACTTCACATAGAAATGACTCAGGCTCAGGGATAATTGGGCTGAAAAGCAGTATAACGGTATTGCGGAGGCAAGAATGATTTGATGGTTTGCTTTTTTCTTTCCATGTCTCAGACTGCACCAAATCTGATTTTGGTAAGACCGAAATGCTAAAGACCAAGGTCAGTACATCCTAAATAAATAGGTCTTGTCAATTAATCAAGTGTCCTCCACATCCATATGTAGTCGTATCAGCTTCAGGAATTGTGCCTGAAATATATATAATTCACTCCCTGGCTCTCATCACCAGCATAAAGAAGTAATCAGAATGCAGGCCCACTTCTGTTATTCAGAGCACATTTTATTAATACAGAAAGACCACAATGCATCTTATTCATCTCACGGAGGGGGTTTAGACCTGGTAGGCACCACTCCTGTAGCACAGAATAAACTTGGTTACAAAGAGGAAGCAAAACACATCATTATTACCAAAATTCCTCACTAATGACAATGCTTCCTCCAAAAAAATGTATTAAAGGCTTTAAATATACAAATCTAAAAATATGTTGTAACATTTAACATTGACTTAGTTTATTTTTTTAATATGCTTTAAAATATACTGAGTGTCTCTCCCTCTGATTTGCCAATTATGTGAAGAAGCCTCTTTCATTGTTTTTCCCCCAGACTTCTATCTTTTTCACCGTCCTTGAGCAGAACTGGGGGCTGAATAGATTCCCAAGGCGGTAACTATGATACCTGCTCAGCAACCCTCTTGTGCTGGCTCCGGAAGTGGCCCTCGCTGCTGGGGGACGCCTGCTTCTGTCGTTTCGCTGTATTGGTCTTGCCAGCCGTTTCGATCCAGGGGTGCTGAAGAACCTGATGAGCTGTGTAGCGCTTTTTGGGGTCTACCACCAGCAATCGGCTCACCAGATCTTTGGCAGCTGTCAGAATGAGAGAAGGGGAAAATGTGATGAATGCAAGCGGTTCTGAATTTTAATTCCCCACACATGCAATAAGAACACAAACATGCATGTCAGCACCAAGGCTGGCTGAAAAGCTCCTTCATATTCTAGAGCAGCACGGTCCAGTAGAAGACGGGAACACTCTCTATCTGCACTATCCACCTGCGGTTACTGAGCATTTGAAATCTGGCGTGTGAAACAGAGGAAGTGAATATTTACATGATTTACTCTGAATTAATCTACATTTGCTTTTAAATACCCATGCGTGGCAGCGGGGAGGGAGCTACCACGTTGGACAGCACAGCTGAAGAGGATGTTCATTCATTTCTCTAGAATCGCGGGGCCAGGCCCCCTCTAAACATCCCTGGCACCAGAGCAAAGGAACAAATGGAAGCCACATGCTATACATCTACATACCTTAACGTTCCAAATCAAAACTAATACCTGCTAAATAAAATATGTTCAAACTTCCCAAGACAATAAATATGCCTTTACATTGACAAAACAGAAAAATGTGTAAAGAAACCTAAAAAGTAAATAGTATAAATTCAAAATTGATTTTATTTTCTGCCCAAGACCATGACTGATTTTAGAGAAATCAGGTGACAGCTGGTGGGCCCAGCAACAGGCAGAGAGCAGAAGAGACTTCCCCTGGCTTCCCGGCTCTCCCAGCCTGGCTCATTGAACCTGCTCTTCCAATCATTCAAGAAATGCACAAGAGGAAAACATCTACTTTTCTGTTGCTGTCCTTTGCCTTTATTGAAGCCGGCCTCTTACTCAAGACCTGCTGCTCACCCACCAATCCCCCCTCCCCTACACAGATGTCCAGCTTCTCCTGAGCACAGAGGGCCCAGATTCCTCCTCCACCACCCAATTCCAGCTGGGAAAAGTCTGCCCGCAAAGTGCCCCAGCCCTACCACTGCCAGCATCACTCCTGCAAGGTCCTCAAATGACCTAGAGGCTGGAAGGCCAGATTTAAGTTGAGAATCCTTAGACCCTTGTGTACAAGTGTGGACAACGAGACACCCCAGCCAACATGTCCAAGCCCTCTCTGCCCACCCCAGACAGCCGCTCCTAGGCCACTCTATGGCACGGTGGGAAGAGGCTGGAAAGGGGCCTCACAAACCTTGGACGTGGGCTTGGGCCATTTGGACAGGGAACTTAGGGGTCCTAAGGAAGTGATCTAGAAGAGGAGACCTGGACTCTGAGGGCACATCTCCTAGCCCCATACTCTCCTCACTCTGTAGAGAAGGCTGTGACTAGAGCAGGGCCCAAGACAGGGTCACCCATACCCAAATCTAAGGAGAGTGCTGCACAGAACTTTCCAAAATGCTTTTCAGTCCCTCAATTCCCAGTTGCCACTGCCTTGTCAGCTCAAGATCCTCATCTACTGTAATGAGCCTCCCTCTCCCTACCTTATTTAAAGGGGGAAAAAATGAAGATTTTCCCTTCCCTCATCCTCCTATGCCAGTGAGAAAATAGAGGCTAGGGATGGAGGCAGCCCAATAATTAAAATTAAACAGCATGTTCAAGGAAAATTGAAAAAAAAAATGTTATCACTCCTATTCTGCTTTTTTTATTTTAAACCAGGGTTTCTGTCACCCAGGCTCAAGTGTGGTGGCATAATTACAGCTCATTACAGCCTCAAACTCCTGGGCTTAAGCGATCCCCCTGCTTCACCCTCCAGAGAAGCTGGGACCACAGCTGGCTAATTTGTTTTACTTTTTGTTGTGGGTCCTCTACACATCTGACCTGAAAAACCCACCCCCTCCTCTCCTGCATGAGGAAGCCCCAGATCTCACCATCAGAGATATTGTCCCAGTAAGGGGGGAGGAACTCAAAGTGGCCCAGCTGGATGATGTTAAAGAGCTCGTCCTGGTCCCTCTCAGGACTGCGGAAGGGGGGAAAGCCACACAGCAGGATATAGAGGATCACGCCAGCAGCCCACATGTCCACCTCCAGTCCATAACCTGTGCAGACAGAGGCAGAGACACAAGCAAACCTGAGACCAGGCAGGGTCAAAGCTGATGAAATAAATGATGGAGTATTGTGGTTCTAAATAGATCTAAGTCACAGAGGATCCCAGCTCTCAGCAACCAAGAGCTACTTCCAAACACAGCTCCCTGCTGCTAACTCCTATACATAAGGAGTCTATGCCATCATTACTCAAAGTGTGGTCCATGGACCACTGCCACTTTGCAATCCCTTATTACTGGCCTGTAATAAAATGAGCATGTAAATTGAAAGCAAGTGTTTGGAAACTCTTATAGCAATTTAACACGACTGTGACATTCCACTGCATGGTCGATGGGCACATCTCATTGAACATCCACACGTATCAGTTCTGGCATTGTCAAACACATGGTGAGACACATGTGACACGAGCTGTGTTCTAGTCACATGCAGCAGGACCATGAGCCCACACTGTACTGGAAATTTTAAAACTTGGCCTTTCACCAGAGAGAGTTAGAGAAGTCCCAGTCTACACTAGCAATCTCTGCTTCCTGTATATCCACTGCCTTCTCTCTCGTTTAAAAAATATCATTTACTGGCTTTTTAAATTATTATTAAAAGACTGATGTTTACTAGTTATATCCCCCACATGTGCAGGCACAGGTACAACACACACACACACACATACAGAGACATGTATATTTTTCTAAATAAAATTTGTATTTACTTTTCTAAATAAAATTAGGATCATGTTTCACCTATACTCTATTTTATTTACTTAATATTATATAATGGCATTTCCAATATAAGAATTTCCTATGAAAAATATAAAAAAATATTTTTTACAAACACATTTTTTTTTTTTTTTTTGAGATGGAGTTTCACTCATGTTACCCAGGCTGGAGTGCAATGGCGCGATCTCGGCTCACCGCAACTTCCGCCTCCTGGGTTCAGGCAATTCTCCTGCCTCAGCCTCCTGAGTAGCTGGGATTACAGGCATGCACCACCATGCCCAGCTAATTTTTTGTATTTTTGGTAGAGATGGGGTTTCACCATGTTGACCAGGATGGTCTCGATCTCTTGACCTCGTGATCCACCTGCCTCGGCCTCCCAAAGTGCTGGGATTACAGGCTTGAGCCACCGCGCCCGGCTACAAACACAATTTCTAATAACTATTAGTATCCCCTTTACATAATAAATCTCTATGTTGTAATTTAAGTTTTTTCTAATTTTTTTACAACAGTAAGGAATTTTCTGATAAGCATCATTAAATATTGGTGCTCATCTCTAATTATATTCGTAAAATAACTTTCCAGAAATGAAATGGACAAAGTAATATACAGTAAAGGTTTTTGATACATATTCCACAATTGTCCTCCCAAAACTTATCACAGCAATATATACATTTTCAAACACTTTCTAACTATCTACAATTAGAAAAAGTAAACACTTGACCACTATAATTCAGAAGTTAGATATTCATGATTAACCCCTAGAGCAAGTTTGTCAAAACACAAATCAGCAGGAAAATATTAAGAGAATAAGTCACTAATGACCCCTTTTGGCCTCTCGTCAGTTCTCAAACATCCCAGTGCTGAGAGGGACTGATTTTGCTCGGCCTCATCAATCTCTGGAAATGTCCCTTGGTCCCTGTGACAATACACTTTCCAGATCCTCTCTGAGCTGCCCAGCCCTGTCTCTACTGACCCCTCCTTCCTTCGCTCATCCCTGAGCTCTTGGCCTCCTCAAGAATCTGTCCTTGGCTCTCACTGGGTCATCACCAAGGAGGTCATTATCAACCAGCTCTGTATTGAGGAGTCTCAAAGCCACATGCTCAGCTCACAGCTTCATCTCCTTGCCAAGTGGACAACTCCATTATCCATCCTGATATCTCTAGAAAGTCAGTGTGTTCAAAACTAAACTCACCCCATCCCCCATCCCCCAAAACAGCTATCCTTTCCAATGCCCTGTTTTAGTTGGCACTACCACCAATGTATGGTTTTCCCAAGAGTTCATGTTGCCTATTTGTTTTCTTTTCTTCTCTCACCCAGTTCATTGATGCCACACCAAGTCTAAATTTCTCTACCCAGTCTTCTCATTTCTAAAGAATTTAAGCTCAACCTACCCAACTGATATAGTTTGTATATTTGTCCCCTCCAAATCTCACTTTGAAATGTGATTCCCAATGTTGGAGGTGGGGCCCGGTGGGAAGTGATTGGATGATGGGGATGGATCCTTCATGAATGGTTTAGTACCATCCCCTTGGTGACAAGTGAGTTCTCATTCAGGTAGTTCACTTAGGATCTGGTTGTTTAGAAATCTGGGACCTCCTCCCTCTCTCTCTCTTGCTCCCAGTCCCACCACGTAACATGCCGGTTACCTGTCACCTTCCACCATGAGCGTAAGCTTCCTAAAGCCCTTACCAGAAGCAGAGGAGATGGCTAGCACCATGCTTGTACAGCCTGCAGAAGCCTTAGCCAATTAAACTTCTTTTCTTTATAAATTACCCAGCCTTCGTTATTTCTATGGCAACACAAAAGCCTGACTAATACACCAACCAACCATGTTTCTCTCTGGTCCATTGAGGCTAGTCTTCTCCATGTCTCTACCACCTGACCTCATGCATGTTGTCATCTCCTCATCTTTTCTTTTTTTTTTTTTTTTTTTGAGACAGAGTTTCATTCTTGTTGTCCAGGCTGGAGTGCAATGGCATGATCTCGGCTCACTGAAACCTCCACCTCCCAGGTTCAAGCAATTCTCCTGCCTCAGCCTCCCGAGTAGCTGGGATTACAGACATGCGCCACCACGCCCAGCTAATTTTTTTGTATTTTTAGTAGAGAGGGGGGTTCTCACCATGTTGGCCAGGCTGGTTTCGAACTCCTGACCTCAGGTGATCCACCCACCTCAGCCTCCCAAAGTTCTGGGATTACAGGTGTGAGTCACCGCGCCCAGCCATCTCCTTATCTCAGTTGTCCTGATGCTTCTGCTGCTGGAAAACTATCCATCCCTTCTCCCTGTCACCAACCCTGCAATCTGATAACAGTCTTCCCATATTACCTATGGTGGGTAAATGGATTTCTCCCGGAGTGCCACAGTAGTCAAATAGTCATTCATATATTTAGAGCCATATCATAACTACTATTTCCTTTTCAAATGTTTTAGAAAGTATGTTACTGAAACAGTTCATTGGATCCTTGCATAATATACAAGTAGGTAGTAAATATTCATAGAGTTCATGGAGGAAAATGGGATCCCCTTTTCCTTTATACGCCAGGTTGGTGAAGAAATTTTTAAACCAAGTACCATAAGGACTGCTTTAATTATCTCCCATTAGAGATAGCCTTGGGTCAGTGGCCCTAACGGATTGCTTGCTTGAGTTCCCCACCTGATTCTCCATCATCTTTCATCTCACTGTCCTGCCTAAACACATTACACACACACACATGTGCACGCACACACACACACACACACACAGACCCATTCACTGTAACAAGGGCATCCCTAATGAGGAGAAAGCTCTCATGCTTTGGTCAAGCCTACTTCAAATATTTTCATTAAGGTCCAAACCCAAGCCTAAGTGTCAATTCTCCGAAACTTATTCCATATTGAAAACTAGTAAATATTAGAAAGGAAACATTTGTTAGTAAAAGAGCTAGAGTCCCACAGATCAATGTGTAACACTTACCTTTCTCAGAAAGAATTTCAGGAGCTACATAAGTTGGGGTCCCACACACAGTAAATATAGGTCTCACCACATGCTTTGCAAGTCCAAAATCAGCCAATTTCAAGGTAGTAGATTTGTCCTCATTTCGCTGAACCTGTAAGAAACCAAAACCCCCAAACCACCAAAATTGTGATTAGAACAAAGAAGGGATACTAATGAAACAACAGGCATGCATGGTCACGATAAGCAAATGATAAACCTATGTGAGCTTACAACTTAACCCAACACCAACAAAGCTAACAGTGAAGAGTGCTCACATTCAACTAAAGAACCAGTGAGTTAGATTTACTATGCCGTCCAATACAGTAGCACCATATTGTCACAGTGGCTACTTAAATTTATCAATTAAAATTAAATTAAAAATTTAGCTTCTCAGCTGCATTAGGCACATTTCAAGTGCTCAACAGTCACTTGTGGCTTGTGGCTACTAAATTGGGAAACACAGATAGACACACGTCTATTGTCACAGAAAGGTCTATTAGATAGCACTGAATTAGAACAAGGATCAAGGATACTTTGAGCACTGACTAGCTTTCATGAGCATTGGAAAATGCTTTTGGGCAATGCAAAGGCTGGGCAGAAAGGAAAAAACTGGGAATGAAAATGAAACAGTGTGGGGCAGGAGTGAGGGGGAGATGGGGATGGTTAATTGGTACAAAAAGAATAGTTAGAAAGAATGAATAAAACATTATTTCATAATAAAACAGGGTGACTATAGTCAATGATAATTTAATTGTACATTTTAAAATAACTAAAAGAGCATAATTGGATTATTTGTATTAGGTTGGTGCAAAAGTAATCACACAAGGATAAATGCTTGAGGGATGGACACCCCATTCTCCATGATGTAATGATTATGCACTGCATGCCTGTATCAAAACATCTCAAGTATCCAAAAATGTATGTACCTAGTATGTACCCTGATATGGTTTGGCTGTGTCCCAACCCAAATCTCATCTTGAATTGTAACTCCCACAGTTCCCCCATGTTGTGGGAGAATCCCAGTGAGAGGTAATTGATTCATGGGGCCAGGTCTTTCCCATGCTGTTCTCATGATAAGTCTCACGAGATCTCACAGTTTTAATAACGGGAGTTTGCCTGCACAAGCTCTCTCTCTTTGCCTGCTGCCATCCAAGTAAGATGTGACTTGCTCCTCCTTACCTTCCACCATGATTGTGGGAAGGCCTCCCCAGCCATATGGAACTGTAAGTCCCTTAGACCTCTTTTTCTTCCCAGTCTCAGGTATGTCTTTATCAGCAGCATGACAACAGGCTGATACAGTAAATTGGTTCCAGTAGAGTGGGGTGTTGCTGAAAAGATACCCAAAAATGTGGAAGCAACTTTGGAACTGGCTAACAGGCAGAGAATGGAACAGTTTGGAGGGCTCAGAAGACAGAAAAATGTGGGAAAGTATGTAACTTCCTAGAGTCTTGTTGAATGGCTTTGCCCAAAATGCTGATAGCCATACGGACAATAAAGTCCAGACTGAGGTAGTTTCAGACAGAAATGAGGAACTTGTTGGGAACTGACGCAAAGGTGGCTCTTGTTACATTTTAGCAAAGAGACTGGTGGCATTTTGCCCCTGCCCTGGAGATTTATGAAAATTTGAACTTGAGAGAGATGATTTAGGGTTTCTGGCAGAAAAAATGTCTAAGCAGTAAAGCATTCAAGAGGTGACTTGGGTGCTGTTAAAGGCATTCAAGTTTTATAAGGGAAAACAGCATAAAAGTTTGGAGACTTTGCAGCCTGACAATGTGATAGAAAAGAAAATCCCATTTTCTGACAATAAATTAAAGCCAGCTGCAGATATTTGCATAAGTAACGAGGACCCAAATGTTAATCCCCAAGACAATGGGGAAAATGTCTCCAGGACATGCCAGAGGTCTTCATGCCAGCCCATCCTATCACAGGCCCAGAGACCTACAAGGAAAAAGTGGTTTTGTGGGCTGAGCCCAGGATCCCCATGCTGTGTGCAGTCTAGGGACTTGGTGCCCTGCATCCCAGCCACTCCAGCAATGGCTGAAAGGGGCAAACATAAAGCTCAGGTTGTGACTTCAGAGGATGCAAGCCTTGGCAGCTTCCATATGGTGTTGAGCCTGCCAGTGCACAGAAGTCAAGAATTGGGGTTTGGGAACCTCCACCTAGATTTCAGAGGATGTATGGAAAAGCCTGGATGTCCAAGCAAAAGTTTGCTGCAGGGGTGGGGCTCTTAAGCAGACCCTCTGCTAGGGCAGTGCAGAAGGGAAGTGTGAGGTCAGATCCCCCACACAGAGTCCCTATTAGGGCACCACCTAGTGGAGCTGTGAGAAGAGGGCCACTGTCCTTCAGACCCCAGAATGGTAGACCCACTGACAGCTTGCACCATGTGCCTGAAAAGCCACAGATTCTCAATGCCAGCCTGTGAAAGCAGCCAGGAGAGAGGCTGGATGCTGCAAAACCACAGAAGCAGAGCTGCCCAAGACCATGGGAATGCACCTCTCACATCAGCGTGACCTGGATGTGAAACTTGGAGTCAAAGGAGATCATTTTGGAGCTCTAAGATTTCACTGCCCCACTGGATTTCAGACTTGCATGGGACCTGTAGCCCCTTTGTTTTGGCCAATTTCTCCCAGTTGAAATGGCTGTATTTACCCAATACCTGTCCCCTGATTGTATCTAGGAAGTAACTAACTTGCTTTTGATTCTACTGGCTCATAGGCAGAAGGGACTTTCCTCATCTTGGATGAGACTTTGTACTGCGGACTCTTAAGTTAATGCTGAACTGAGTTAAGACTCTGGGGGACTGTTGAGAAGGCATGATTGGCTTTGAAATGTGAGGACATGAGATTTGGGAGGGGCCGGGGCAGAATGATATAGTTTGGCTGTATCCCCACCTAAATCTCATCTTGAATTGTAACTCCCACAATTCCCACATGTTGTGGGAGGAACCCAGCAGGAGGTAATTGAATCATGGAGGCAGGTCTTTCCCATGCTGTTCTTATGATAGTGAATCATTCTCACGAGATCTGATGGTTTTAAAAACGGGAGTTTCCCTGAACAAGCTCTCTCTTTGCCTGCTGCCATCCATGTAAGATGTGACTTGCTCCTCCTTGCCTTCCACCATGATTGTGGGAAGTCCTCCCCAGCCATGTGAAACTATAAGTCCGTTAAATTTCTTTTTCTTCCCAGTCTCAGGTATGTCTTTATCAGAAGCATGAGGATGGACTAATACATACCCACAAAAATTAAAAATAAAAAGAAGAAGAACAATAAGCAGGGGAGAGATGTTAAATACAGACCCTCATTGGGAGGGATGGGGGATTAAGAATCAAACAGGCCAGGAGTCTTTGAATAATTCCAACTCCAAGACCTGCAGCTAGATGGTCTTGGACAAATTTCTGTATTCATCTGAGCCTCTGTTTTCTCATTTGTTTAAAAAAAAAATGGGACTGGGGCAAGTGCAGTGTTTCACACCTGTAATTCCAGCTCTTTGGGGGGCCAAGGTGGGAGGCTCTCTTGAGGCCAGGAGTTCAAGACCAGCGTGGGCAACATGGGGAGACCCTGTCTCTACAAATAGTAAAAATATTAGCCAGGCAAGATAGTGCATGCCTGTGGTCCAGCTACTCAGTAGGCTGAGGTAGAAGGGGAAGGCTACTTGAGCCTGGGAAGTCGAGGCTGCAGTGTGCCATGATTCCACCCCTGCACTCTAACCTGAGCAACAGAGCAAGATCCTGTCTCAAAATAAAAGAGGGGAGAATGGGAGTGGCAGTTTCCAGCAAATATGCTTATGTTAGGAGTTTCATTCGATGTATGTAATCTGCCTAGCAAAGTATTAGCTCTAGAGTGACCAAAAGTCCCAGTTTGCATTGGACTTCCACCAGGTTTTAGAAAAGGGTAGAATTGGTCAATTTTTAAAATAGAAAAAAGGCACAGTCACCTTCACTCTGAATGAATACAGAATCTCAAATGCTCCCTTCTTTTCCTCCCTCAAAATGTATCCCACCTGAGTCTCACTCCTTCAAACACGCCCAGGTGACTGGCTTTCTCATCTCTGGTAAGCCAATTCCCATTGCCAAATTGTTATGTCCTGTCCTCCTTCCCCAACAAAAGATTTGATATAAGATTATGGTTGTTGGAAAAAGTTGGATCTTAACCTAAAAGAAACTAATCTCAAGAGGTAAGCGTGGCAAGTATTTAGATCACTATGCTAGAAAAAATAAAACTAAAGTTAAGTGTTATATTTCACATGAAAAAAAAAAAATGAGGGCACAAACCCAGCGTATCTCACAGCAAGTAAATGATGTGTTGGTGCCCCCTGCCATGGAAGAAATTTTCCAGTTTGAGGGAAGGTTAAATAATCAGATGCAATGCAATACCCAGCCTCCGTCCAAACTAGCCGGCACCCACACACGTAAGATCCAAGGGTAACTGCCCTGTCTCTCATGGTTGAAGCTGATTGCTCAGACCAAAGGTAAAGTAAGCAGTTAATTAGACCACTGTGTGAAAACTTACTAGAATAAACCTGGGCAATCTTATCCAACCAAGAGACTCATTAGTGCCACCACAGCTGTAGGAGAAATCGACTTGTCTGCAGGCACACACCCTCACATCTCTCCTGGAACTGGGACAAAGGCTCCCCATGCTCCCACCAGTGCCTGGACAGGTGGGCAGTGGGGGAACTCTGCCTCTCCCTGGGACCCATCACAGCCATAGGCAACACCTAGAATGGCAGGGTGGAGCCGCCTTTCCCCTGTCTTTCCAGACCAGAATAAATTCTCCACACTTGCTCCAGTTTCTGCCAGTGAGCTTACATCTCCATAAGCAGCATGTGTCTTAATTACTGAGCCTGAGTCACCACCAGACAATCTAATCAATGTCTCCATAATTAACCTCACCAAATGGAAAATCATAAATTTAGAAGTAAAATGAAATTCCACTCGGTCTGCATATAGAAACTGGCAAAGCCCAAAAGGGGACAACAGGGTAATTACTAGAATAATTTAGGCTAGAAAATCTAGTTTAGAAGGAAAGGAAAACAAAATAATGTGATACCTAGAATGACCAGATGGACCATATACATTAATCATATTCACTGATGACTGCTGAAAAAAATAT